CTCCACATTAAATATTATAATCCACATTTATATATGTAATTAGAAACAATTCAACACATAGTGTTTCACGGTTAAAAATTCAAATATTAAACAACTAAATGTCAAACAATTCAAAATCGAAATATAAACCATAAAAGTTTGTTAGAAACTCATAACCCGCGCGTTACGCGGACTTTTATCTAGTTTAGTTTAAACGCGTTTAAAATATCAAACTATTAAGGTTTTAACATAAAACATATATATAAAAAAAACTTAGAAAAAGAAGATACCAACTTAAAAGTTCGATCAAATGTAGTAAAGAAAAAACACGAATTCTCAATACATGATCATGTGCTGATGTACATATGCGTATACAAAAACAACCAAAAATAAATAGAGAAATAGAGGAATAAAGTAAAACGAGATTACGTGTGAAAACTAAAATTGTGTTTTTTTAATTTTTTTTTTAAAAAACAATGGTAATCAATAATGAACACTATAAATATAAGTCACAGTATGCATAATGAATTCACAAAACAAACTCACAAAAAAAAAAGAAAGATACTCTCTAGCGAGAATGGCAAAAAAGATGGAAATTGAAATGACATCGATGAAATTAAGCGAATCCTATGAAGTCAGTTTCACGCGGAAGCCTTCAAGACCAAACAACGACAGGCTCGAACTGTTTAAAATTCGGGCCTGGGCCGACGATGCTGACACAAACTATGTGGAGACCCAATGGATCGATCCCCATCCCTTGTTTGACCAAACAATCAAATTCCACAATTTAACTTCGCCGTCTACGCTTCGGGTGCGTCTCGAGAAGAAGGATAATCCGGCGGCGACAAAGATGTTCGGTATGGGGAGCGTCAGCCTCGATCAGCTTGTTGGCAATGGTTCAGTCCACTTCCCATCCAAGGCGGATAAAGAGATCGAGCAGGAAATGACGATATTGGACGGAGAGGAGCAGAACACAGACTTCACTTTCAAAGTACTAATCAAGCAATTTAAGGTGCATTATGTGAATAAACGAACATATTAATTAGATAGAAATGGTTTACCTTTTCATTGATTAAGCTGCATTATGTGAGTAAACTGATTGATTAAGCTGCATTATGTGATTAAGCTGCATTATATGAATAATCGTTATATTGTAAGGATTTTTAGCCCTTTATGGA